TTGAAGGTGGAAGAGTTCAACCAAAGTGAACCAAGCGAATGATCTCACCAATTTTAGCGTAAATTGACCGACTGCGTTAAAAAGGTTAATTTGGGTGTAAAGAGTAATACTGAAGAACTCTTTTAAGGATTTAAGGAAAACATTTCACCTATAAAAGTGTATAAAACTAAGTCCTCACGAATAATTTCTAACCCTAATTTTAATTAAACCGTAGTCTAACTCTGACTTAATCTTCACCCAATAGACTAGTCATTTGGATTAAAATAAATACTTCTAAGAAGAACTTGGAGTTGTTGTTACGACATGTTAAAGAACAGTATTCTGTCTGATGCTTTTTACACGTTTTAAACCCTGTTGTCGTGAATGTAATCTTTTTATCACGCCAATATACTGTTGAAGGTCTTAGGTATTCTCACTCACTTATGTTCTCGACAGTCCAGCAGAGAATCTGATTAGTGTGAATAATGTCATGTTAATAATCAAATAGTGCTAATCAAATTTAACGGGAATCTAATGGATGCCTTCATTTATGTATACCATCAAGGGAATAACTAAGAGCATTTATGTCATCACCTACTTGAATACAGTATAGCGACTACATTAACAACTTCAGCAGAATCCTTCTTCATGAGTGGCAAAGGTATAGAGGACTTGTAGTGACCCGTTTTATTACTCATCATCGCAGTATACTTTCACTATGTAATTGGACTTTGATTGGTTTATTACTCTAAATCTTGCATGTTAACAATTGATACTTTTTGTACTCGCCCGATTTTTGAATTTTGATTGCTGCAATAATACACTATCGTATTCCTTCGCAAGTGCCTTTTGAATTACGTTGTGGATGTCGAGTAATCGCAACGTTAGGTCACAATTATAAACGCGAAGAAGTACTAAGATATACGTGTACGCTAGTTTGGTCAGAATATAGCAGCACAACAGACTTATTGGTAAACGTGACAACGTTACGAAATATGAGAATAAAAATCCCAGCTAATAAAGCAATTTTGAAAAAGTATATAAGGAAAAATACAGTAAACGAGTTATACAAATTAATGGTTAGTTGATGATACATATTATTAATATAATTCACAGAAGCATTCGCTACTGGGGTCGTGTTTACTAGTAGGAGCTGTGCACCAGTTGTAGAATAGTCTTCAGACGAAGAGACGAACAGCACGCTTTATTTTAATTGTACTCCAAAGTTACAATGAATCGTTTTAAACAAAATTTATGTACAATTTCTCCATTTATAACATCTAACAAAAAACTGTACCATCATATTGTTCCAGACTCCGTGAAAGCTTCTGTAGACATAATATTAGGTAAACGTTAGTCAGCTGACAAGTGGGCAGAGATATAATACACGGTTTATTCAGACAGAGTGATAAGTACCTTTGCACAGGAATAAATCAGTTCAAATCGCCGCATTTCGTAACTCTGTGTTCAGAAACTTTTTTCCAGCCTTTAATATTACCATGGTCTTGGTTTCAGTTTTATTATTCTGAATTGTTGCGTAATAAACTCCGTGTAATATTTCTGCTTTTATCTTTTACAACCTATTTACACTTCCTTGTTCTTTTGTTTCTTATCAATTGTTTCTATGTGACTGTTAAACACTTAGCTAATTAGTTGTAAGACTTTTCAGTATTTTTTACAGATTGTTATTTCTCATGCACTTTGACTTATTTCGTTATTAACTGACGAAAAGCTCTGACATTTCTTTAAGTTAACATTGCATATGTATAAACTTTTGAATAATATTGTATAGCTTTGGAGTGACTATAAAAACACTCTCCTTATTTCCCATCTGAATGTACATTATCACAAATTGATTTTTATTCAAATATCTGGTCAATTCCACACATGTATATACATGAAAGAAAAAGTTGTGTGAGTAGCTTGATATGATTATGAGCAGTAATTTGTGCTTGAAACGTCATCAGTTAATATTACTGACTAACAGTGTGTGACTTATCAAAATAAAATCTTATCTATTATGGAGTTATACTCTACCACAGTACCCAAGTTTTATACTTCTATCATGAAAAGAGACCTTTTTGCTGACTTATGTATTAATAATAATAATAATTTGCTTTATTCCAAAACAGTACTTGTGATACAGAATGGAATTCTCAGCATTTTTACTACAGTATTGCATCCAGTTTGTACATTATCAATAAATAGAATTCTAAATAGATTGAGGAAACCGCAGTTCATTATTACAACAATACATTGGCATGTCAGTAGCAAAGGTAAAGCTGAAACAGTGTTTGAAGGTGTTAGAAAAGTGGGAGCTGTCTTATTAACTGGCGTAGGCGAGAGAAAGAGACAAAGCAGCACATAATGGAAAAAGAAGAGAGAGAAAAGGAACAGAAAGAAAGAAAATGTTGTACCTATTGGTGAAGTGGTTTGGAAAGATGAGATCCAGTTGTACTAATGACTATTTAATGAATTATAGGTGTCACGCCTGATGCTTTCTGAATTACACTTCGAAACAGCGGAAAAAGAGAGGCGAACTAAAACAGAGTCATAATACAATAAAACAAATATAGTTATGTATGAAGATTAATGAAAGTATTTAGGTCTTTAGTAATAATGACGAAGGGAAATACATTTGAACTATTATGAACTTTGAACCATATCAACATAGTGGTAGGAAACAGCTAAATCTGATGTCAACATTTCAAGTCATCGGAAACTGCTGTAGACGATTTTATTTCTGAAAATATTCCTATTTAGTGTATTCAACCAACCAACAGCTTGATTTCACACCGTATTTTTTGGTACAGGTATGGAATTTTCAGCATGTGATATCGGTAACCGAAATTTTGCTGGTCGACCATAGATATTAAGTGTGCGTCGGCAGAGGATCGAACTCCGGACCATGTGCATGGTCGGCGAGAGACCTAACCGCCGTACCACCGATGCGAACCTTAGCCAGGTAACCCAACATTCTCTCACACTACTCTAACATGAGTAAAGGATAAATCAAAAACATTCTGAGTGGGACAGAACCTTTTGATTTTTCAGATTCATTATATCATCATTATTCTTTTTGCAAAATTAATGGTCTACGAGCTCGCCTTGTAACCAGAAGTTCCTGGGTTCGAACCTCGGTGGGTGCGCACGGATGAAGAGTCCCAAATTAGGACGAAACAGTCGTCCACTACTCCCAGGTTTTCCAATTGTACTGTAACTAATGGCAGCTCATGATGAAATCCTGTAACCAAAATTATTCAGTTTCATGCGCATTCCCTCTTATGACAGTTTCCTTACATTTCTCTTCCTCTTCTATCTTTATGTATTTTTTTAGGAAATATGGCGTAGGAAACTACTATATTACTATGCACAATTCTATGTCGAAAATTCAGTTCAATCTTTGCGATCTCATACGATGAAGACACACAGCCTCATATACCTACTTGACATGCATTCATTAAGTTGATACAATTCTAAAATAAGTGATGCAGCACTCTTTTCCTTACTATTAAAACTGAAGTTGATGAGCACCAATTCTGTAAAACTATCTTACATTGGACAGGTATTTCACAGCATGCCAAATATATTCAGACCTTTGTTTCAAGATTTCAGTTTTAAACATCATCCTAACCACAAAACAAAGTAATATGCTGTCTCCCCACTGTTTGTCACCCAGATCTTTCTGTAGTAGCTAATTACATTCCTAAAAAGTTCAAGTAAAATAAACTTCGTATGTTACAAAATTAAATAAGGGATTTAAATGTCCCCAAAATTTCACTGTTTATTTTCTTTGAAGTCGAAAGCTCTCCATTTATTCTCATAGTTTTATAAGAGTTCCAGCGGAGCACTTTGTTTTGCACAAAATATTCTCCCAACACTAATCAGAAGTAGACATCATCTCAATGCCCCTTGTTTACTAAAGTTTCCCGTCACTTCTAAGTGAAAAAGTGTCGAAAATATCAGCGCAACTAGGAAGCATATCTATGAGTTCATACATGTTAAAGACAGAAAATGTGATAGATGTTCCTCATTTATCCTTCTTTAGAATGCACTTATTTCTCCTTTCTCGAACAGTACTTAAATTCAAATAATTAGTAAGAAGGAAGCAACCAAAAAGAAAGCCACCATTTAAACAAATATTAAATCCAGAGGATGAACTGAATCGAAACAAAATATTCTGCGATTGATTCCGAGATATATGTAATGAACTGGTTATGTTGCTGACATATTGCATTATACCAGGCTAACTAAACATAAATTGCTACAGTACCCACTTAATCAATACACTACCTAGTCTGCAAGTAGTGATGACAAAAAGGACCGAGTTATTTAGAAATATGCTGTGAAGGGCAACATGTTTAAATAAAATAAAATGTTGAAGTTATCTGGGGAAAAGATTTCAGGATATTTTTGTGGCTAATGTGCCTGGATACCGGACTCTGATGATGAGTGTGTTATCTGCTAAAACTATACTTAAACCACCTTAAGCATCCACAGGCGAGTTAGAAGTTTACTTAGTTAATATATATTTATTTTAGACTTAGGTTTATTTGGTTGCCATGATAGGTGCCCTGCATTATTAATGACTTTGAACGACCCAACATTTTATCAAATAAGCACTACGAAGTAAATTTAGCCATTTTGAAGAAACATGCTTGAATAAAAGATTTATAGAACACAAACTATATTTTGGTTCGGGAAATTTTGGAAACGCATCAAAATAGAACAACATGCAAAAAAGAAGTTTTGTTTTAAACAGAATAATTTATGTATTTTTTTTAAACTCGAAAAGGAACGGAAAGTATCAAAATAATAAGTAAATGTATCCGGCAGTAAATAAGTAACTTCCATTTCCTTTTTAGTAGTAACACCTTTTAAAAATTTTCCCGTATACATTCAGTTTTAGCACTTAAATGATTTAAACCGTCAGTAGATAATAACTAGTGTAAGAAAACTAGTGCTAAACGAATAGCAATTCTTCGAATGAAAATTTACCAGAAATGAATAAATAATACATGTTACTCACTATCCACCCATACAAGTAATCTCTTATGACATCTCTGTCTAACGTTATCACTGCATGTTAAAAATGTACTATTATCCCAAACAGACGTTAATGTTATCTGAGATGTGTGCGTTTGTGGTTCCCATGAATCAGTTAACTCTTCCTCTACATCATCATAAGATGAATATTGGTAATTTAATATTGAATTTGTTGAAGGCAACTTTTGAAATTTATATTGGTCATTGATGTGTTTTAATGAATAAATTGGTAACCAATGTGATTCAAGTAGATTACGGTATTTATTTTGCCATGTAAATTTATTTATTTTTGGTGCATAGCATATACTGTATTCACTTAATTTTGTACCAACTGATTTGTCTATCTTATCATTATTAATATTATGATTTGTAAGTGGTTTATGATGAGTCTTTTTGCAAGAGTTGATGGCTTTCTCGCCTTTTTTAATCATATCTATTATATATGATATTCCAGTTATAAGATAAGATGATGTCCGAAAATTATGCGGCATTAGACAGAAAATTTAAATAAAATAACTGGCTAAATATGTATAGTATTAAATTAATCGATAAAACCAATATGTATTTACGTATGTATTGAATTAGTTTTGTTCTCTGAGCTGGTTAATTTACGCATTTACGTATGTGGCCTAGGTTAGATAATAATAATAATAGTAGTAAAGAGAACGAACATATTTTGCTATTCGTCTATTGAGTCAACAACTAGTTCAACTTTCTGGAATGAAGAAATGATGGAACTATTGACAAGACAATCTACAGAAAAGAAACGTTAATGGGTCAGTACTTGAACTATCACAGTTTTGGGCCGATTAGTTATAAACGCAGCTTAGTCAGAACGCTGTTCAGTAGAGTGAAGGAAGATTGATGAACACTTCATCAATACTGAAAAGAATCAAATGCAGAATGGATATCCCACGAAGTTCACAATCAAATATGGAAAGAAATGTTCAGACCAAAGCCCGTAACAGTTGAGAAGAAACTAGTTGCATTTACATGGTGTACAAAGAAGAAGTATTAGAGGAAATCGGAAAAAGAATCAAGAGTGCACTGAAAAGGATATTGCTCACCGTTAGACTGATTACTCTTTATAACACGAAATGCTCACTAATACAGTCCTAATTATATAAGTACCCTGCTCAGGTTAGCTACAACTTTATTTGCCAGTTCGCATACACTTGGGATAACAAGTTCACAGGAATATCTGAGAGGAAACCATCTACTCGATTTACCGTGTGTATTCCCGAAAATCTTCATGTGAAAAATAAGGAAGTGTTTGCAGCTGCAATCGCTAAGCAGGAGGCAAACAGTCGAAATCAGCCAAGTCTTCAAAATAATTAGTGTACTGAGGAAAACCCAGGCCACTTTGCTTTGCCGATGGCATGGCTATTAAAAGATTTCAAGCTAATCTTTGTAAGCAGGGAGATAACTCCATCCATAATGGAGTTACACTCTACCACAGTGCCCAAGTTTCATACTTATATCAAGCAGGGAGATAGTCTGACTAATCTAGCACTACCCTGGTAACTAGACGTCTCTCTCTGTATGTGTTGAACTGAACTTCCAGTTTTGTTTACGTAATAATTTTACTTTTAGTTACCACTTCTTTCACACTTTCCTCAAACGTACCATTACATTATGCTTAGATAAACTTGCTGTCAGTTTATTGACTACTTTGTTTTCAAATCTCTTTTTCCACAACTGTACCCTTTGAGTTGAAATAATTTTGAAGCATTTCATATATACTTTTGTATTTCTAATAACTTATTTCATTTTAAGCCATTAACTAGCTGATGAAAAGCCGTGAAATAAAAATATGACCTTTTCCTAAATTATAAATTCGTTCTTTCTCCCTTCGTTCAAACTGATCAAAGGGACTAGTTTTATGATTAGATAATAATTGTTTATTTTACTGTTATTAGATGGATGTACGCAGAAGGAAGAATTAATGTCAGTCGGGTATTTCTGAAGATACTGATACCATCTGAGGGGATGGAATTAGAACATATATAATTCAGCATGAACAAATTATTGATGATGTGGCTAAGCGTAGGGCTAAATGATGAAAGTATGTGAGAGGGAGAGAGTATCACAGTTCCTTTTAGGAGATTAATGTTTTTCAGACCGATGCCATTCTTTAAGTGGTGTGAGGCGGATAAAATTAGAACCGATGCTTTAAGCCACTGGCTGAAGGGAGAGGATATTTCGTTTTTCAGTTCTAGATTCATGTTGTTGCGTGGACCTCAAACCAAATCTTCGACCTTATACAACAAATCGGATTAGTTTGTCTGACCACTCACGCCGCATAACTTTGTACTGGAAGTGTGTATATAAGCGATGTATTTCTGTCTAATAAAGTTGCAGTCACAGGCCAGTCTTTGTCTTCTTATATTTTTTGCCTCATTGAAGTAGAAGGTATTTGAGGGAGGACAGTTGTATTAGATATTCAGTCAAGTTGCCTATTGCATTCCAGTACTGTGATACCGACGTAATGATCCACTCGAACGCCATAGCAATCTACTATTATCAATCAGAAATATACCTGTGTAATGAATCTTTTGACGTGATAACCACCACATAGAAATTGATTAATATAAAAGTTTTGTATTTCCCAATGAATGAAAAACAAAACGATTTTGTTTTTACTGACGTTTCGCTACTTAATACTGCTAATAGCTTTATCAAAGTATTATTAAACCAGAGCTTACAAAATCTCAGCTCATATATAACAACTTAATCATTGCTCATCAGCACGGAGTAATTTTTGTGTTGTCAAGTTAGCCAATTGGTAAGGATAACAAAACCATTAACACTAAATAGCGAAACATCAGTAAAAACAATATCGGATTTTTTCATTCATTGGGAAATACAAAAACTTTTATAATAATGAATATCATATACCCAAATTTTTTCAAAGTATTAAACGTGAACTTGGTTTGTACATTTATGGCCATATAGAAAGTCTAATCGATAGGGTTTAGTCTGCAGTAAAGGCTAGTGTTAGGATGCAGAAGATGCATGCATTTTTAATCAGTGCTTTCTGTCAGCTGTAGAACAGATATTCCATCTTAACGTAGATCGAATTTTGTGGCATTGAATTTTTATTGCTGCCTTGTTAACCTGTCATAAAACAGCTTTTTATAAATTAAACTTCTAAGTTATTGGTCACGCAAAATAACTATATGAATGGCTGCATTTTCTAGTCACCCGCCTTATTCCTAGGAGAATAAATGATATGATAATGAACGACAAGGTGTGTTCGAAACGTCAACCGGTAGACAATACTGTTTCACTGTGTGACATATCTAATAGACGTATTATTATGGAATTTCATACTACCACAATGCCCAAGTTTCACACATATAAGAATAAACCTTGCCTTGTTAGTTTTTCATCTGTGCATTTTCAATATGAGATTAATATTTTAGTGGTTAGTCTTATACACTCTTTGTTTTGAAGTACTATATGTGAATAACAGCGGTCTTTCTATGCAGTGATCAGTCGGTTAGAAAGAAACTGAATCAAGTATTATCCGGTCACTTCAACTAAGAAACATGAGATTGGTTTTTGTTAATCGTTAATCTCCGTAGTTTATATAATTATATTTCCGAGTTACATGTACGTGCCAAAGTACATACATGGGACGACAGAAAAAGAATTTGTGAACGCATTTTAGTCTATATTCCAAGAAACTTTCAACTAAAAGATGCTAACGTCTTCAGTAGTGCAATAGCTAGTCATCCGGTAGATTGTGGCCAAGAAATCGACCTTTTAAAACCATTTAAGGTAACTGAAGTAAAAGTTAGTCTTAGTCTACTACGTACCACCAAAGGGGTAGCGATTAAGCAACTAAAGCTGAACTTATACATTCAAAAACAAACGGTTGTCAATCAGCATCTTCTTCCTTCACTTGATACTGAAGATAAGATGGGCGGCGAGGAAAGACGGGCATCGAATCACCCAAGAATGCATTGTTCAATAAAAATATGGAAGAAAATAAGGAGTGGATGGAATACACTCTGAGGAGACTATTGGATGACAGCATCAAGCTAGGCGAATTCTCGAGTGGAACCCGAATGTGAAGGAACGAGTTAGGCACGGAGCGGAGGGTGACGTGGTTGAGATAGGAGGAAATGAAAGGTCGTGGGTAATCATGGAGCCAGTGAAAAAAGACTGCAGAGAACAGAGTCAAATGGAGATGTATCACTGAAGCCCTATGTTTCGCTCGGAATCTAAGGCAATAGTAGTATTGTAACAACAGAAGGCAAGACACGGAAGTCAAGGTATATTTTCCATTAATCAAACGCTGTTTACATATATACAGTTTATATTCTCTAAGCAATCACTGAGCGTGTGATTTCGGTTTACATTAAACGACATGAAATAGAATGTTGAAATATACATAGTATTCTGTTGCTAACACAGTATTTAACTGTGTGAAAAGTATTCTGACCCTAACAACAAACAGAATATATATATATATATATAGTATTGTGTTGCTAATGCAGTAATGAACTGTGGGAATATGTGAGAATCATATTCCGTTGGAACACATTGTTTGTATCACACCACCACAGTATTAAATAATAATTGCGAATAAGTTCTTCTATGTGCATCGTTGGCACAGCGGTAGAACGTTCGCCGATCACGCATTTGGTCCAGGATTCGATCCCCGGCCGACGCACTCCTTTACCTCGCCGAGCCAGTGATAAGACTGGTTAAGAGGGAAGGTTAGATATGAGGCTAGCAACCCCATGCCGTAAAAACAAACACCACTGCTAACTAAACTTCAAGACTCTAGCTTGAAGCCCTATATTCCACTGGAAACGTAAAGGAATAGAAAAAACTTTTTTCGATGTTTGAGAGAAACAGAGAGCAAAGTTATAAAAGTGTAAAAATGTAATCGGCCATATTTCTCTCTGTGTAGCACGAATAGATTTATAAACTCACCTCCATCGATTGCACTTTCGTCTGGAATAATTGTAATGGCAGTACACATTACTACTTAACAAAGAAATGATTATCTCTCAAGCGATATATAATTATGACACAATGCATCTTATATTGAAAAAAAAGTTCCATTTGCCCATGTTCTTCGTTTTTATCCTACTTTTGTCTAACTTTCACGTTTGCTTTATTGTTTCAAACGGATCTCTCATTGCTTTTTTCGTGATCTAATCCTTCCCTCACCTATTGGAGATTCTGGCAGAAGACATCAAAGGCAAATATACTATTAACAAAATCTTACTTACACATAATTACTGGATTCATAAGTATACCTAGTCATCTGCAATGAATTAACGAGGCCTAGAAATAGCCACTTCCATACTCAGAGGCTAATTCAACTAACATACATGAAATAATGGTTAATGACATGAAAATCTTTAATTAGCTAGAGAAATAGAAAAGGGGGGAATAAGGCAAAATATTGAATGATTTGTAAATAAATAAGGGGCAAAACAGTTTCAGTTAAACAGAAGTTGTTTGACAAAAACGAAAAGGAGACGTAACTTATTCAAATGATATAGTGCGTATTTGTACAATGCATTTCAAACAATCTGATCGTACATACATACTTGTCATGGGAATTTATATTTAAAAAATTATGTGTTAAGGGATAACAGAATAAACAATAGTCAGATTAAAAGGCTATTTCAAAGGTCAGAATAACAACGAAGATCAATAGAGTAAAATAAGAGGCATGGTGGAACAATAATTCTGGTTTCAGAACAAAATTTACCAAGGAAGGGTTAGCTTGATGACAAATTGTTTATGAATACATTGTGATAGATTAAACATCATGATTACCTCGGCTTTCATAGAAATTAGGATACCCCTCACTCCCAACAGGTATAATAATTACGTTTAAAAGGTGTGTACACATCTATTTGATGTCGTGTTTCAATAATAGGTTTCAAGATTGAGCCGCTTGTTCGTCTAATTTCGCCATTAATTGGTTCTAGAGATTCACACTGTATCCTAATTTTCTGTGCAGCACTTACGTATAGAGATTGAAATGTCCTCCTTAATTATGTGTGTCTATACTGATAAATACAATAGGATGTGAAATCATTTTTCACATGTTCTAAGGACTTAGAAGGATCAAGTGACTTCACATTCTCTTCTAGATCCCCATCTTAACTGCACTAATTAGTTGGTTGACAGTAGTAGCAATGGAAATCAAGACACACATTTCGTCCTATCTGTCTAGACGGTTAAGCTTGTATCCTAGTAAGTGATGGTGTTACTACTGAGATATGTTAAATGAGACAGACCACAAATAATTTTGATAAATAATAAACGAAATTTAATTCGATGAAAAAAGAATCCGATGATATTTGAAAACTAATTAAGAATCAAGTTATTTGAAGTCTTTCAGAAGTAAAAGTTTGTTTTACTGAATAGGTCTACCTTTAGCACGTAGTCTGTAGATGTACAGTCTTTTTCTTCTGCAAAAACGAAAGCAATTGAATGGTGTATAGTAGAGGCTTACTATTTTAAGACTTCTATTTAATCATCTCGTGGTATCATTTCTCTTCATAAATACGGAACTATCAATCAGCAACATCAACGATTGGAATGGAATAGGTAAAAGTCATTCATGGTACTTCATCAACTGTTGCTTACAGTTACTCTAAAAATTCTAATTTGTTAATAGAATGCTAACAGAGATCAAACTGAAGTGAGCATAACTGACGAAAGTTTCGTACAGTTATGTAGTTGTTGAAAGCACTCCATTTTACACTACGTATTCATACTTGAAAACGACTGGTGTCTGAAATAACAAAAAACAACTAAGGGTTAATTTTCAAGAGTTGGTTTGTACGGATTAGATATATTTTTCGAGTTTGACCATGGATTGATGTCAGTTAGAGAATTACTGAAAACCAGGAAGTACAAGATAGCTGTTTCCCCCTAGCTTGGGAACCATCATCAGCATGCACCCACCAGGGTTCAAACCCAGGGCCTACCGGTATACCAATCAACCACTGGGACCCGATTCAACGGCTCATGAATTTCAACTTCTACCAATTCGTGTTTTTAGTGCGACTACCAACCAATGTCATTAGCGGGAAATCCATCTTCACTCCCGACTGGATGGACCTAACTGGTATACGAGCTTGCCTTGTAACTGGGACGTCCTAGGTTCGAACCCCAGTGGCGGCGTCCTGATGGTGATTCCCAAACTGGGATGAAACAGCTGCCCAGTACGCCCCAGTTTTCAGTAGTTCTCTAACTGATAGCAATCCATGGTCTAACTCGAAAAACTAAAGATTAGTCTTAGTGATATTTTTTGATATAAGTGTTACGCGAATACCCCATAGACATCTGTCTCTCAATGTGCCGAATTAATACAAATAAAACTAGGTTAAATGAAAGAGAATAAAGTTTCTGTCTGAACCTTTTGAGAAAGTGCAGTGATTTCTGTCTAAGAACTGTATGGTGAACACTGTGGAGACATGGCTTACTGTCTTGAGCATTCGACTTTCACTCAATGGGCCTCGAGTTCGAACCTCAGTCCACCTACTTCAGTTTGGGTAGTATCACCAGTCCACAAATAGCGAGTGCGCCAACTGTTTGAAACATAAAATACCTGTTCCGGGAACTGAGGTAAAACAACAAACGCTAATAGGGTCTAGAACTAATAACAGTTCATTCACAGTTTCCTTTCCATCATAATTGCAGTGTCATATTTCCTTAATATTGTATATCGATTTGTAAGTGTTTTTAGACACTGAAACTGTAAGTTTCTTTTATCTTCTTCTAATAAAATTTTCTAACAATTAGATCGTTCTGTTCGAAAGCCTTCTTGCCCAATGCCCCGACTTATGTAATATGCTGAATATTTTTGGTGAGGCATTTGGTGATTACAGTAAACTGACCCTATCAAATCACATATCCTGACATACCTTGTAAACAACATAAAACCACCTACTTACAGAGTGGAAATTTATGAGATGGGCCTCAACGAGCACTGTAGGAAAAATACAAGTCAGGTGACTCCCTTTACAATGATGTTATGTATGAATATTATGACCTTGTAGAGTACGAGCGAATCTAACTTAATGCGCAAACTTAAAATCAATATTGATGGGTCACCAGTGTATATATCAAATGACATAACAGCGCCCCCATTCGAGCAGCATACTGGATAACCTGAGAACTCTTGCCAATCTCTGAATGTTTTTGGACGCCAAATGGCTTCTCTTTTACAGCTAATAATCACAATCCTCCCTCTTGGGGAGCCTTAACAACAATAATAATCATAGTTACAACTTGAACCACACAACCCCTGAGTCTATGGAGGACAGAACGAACTGCTGTGAAATTAACATATCCTTTGACAGATAGCCGGATAAAACATCTACTCCAGAGATGACGTGACTTAGTAAACTCCACACGAACCTTGTGTACCCGTTATAAGATGTCGTCAGTAATCAATCTATAAGATCCGCAACAACTTCCGAAATGAGTGAATTGACCGGTGTACTTAGCCATTTCACTCCGTACCTTTAAACTGGGAGTCTGCATCGCAGTCATACGGTATCATCCCAGGAGGAAACTCCTCTCTTCTTAGTAACTGAGATAATCAATTTCTGCATCAGTCTTATGGGACTATCTCAGATTCCTACACAATATCTAATATCTTAGTTAACGTAGTCAGTTATATTGATAGATCCTGCTACTTTGTATTATTTCAGATAGGGAACAGCTTACACAATCTCGGTTACAGATAAAGAACCGATGTCTGCATCCAGTTTAGTTAACTACTTAGTGCTTGTCATAGTTAGCGTGACTGTACGCCAGCTGAATTGCTACTCAGCATGTTCCCTTCAACGCTCCAATAGTCTATCCTCAGAGATAAAGTATCATCCTTTTCAGAAATGATTTATTCTATCATGAGTTTATTGCACTTTCTCCTTAATGAGACTGAGTAGTTTTTGCATGTTACCTACTGCTAAAGCCTTTTCCATCTCTTTCATTTTTGGCACCCACCTGCTTAATAATCAGTTAAGTGGCTTCGAGAAATGTACATTTTTAGATACATTGTCCTTAAACTATGCTAAGAATCGACTTTTGAAACAACTAAATACAAATTTATATGTTAGTCTCTGTTTCTGCATTTTTTATCCGAGACTATGTAGTACAAAAAAGTTGCAATTCATAACCAACTGAGTAAAAGCTTTATGACCTGTGGAAGGCAGCCGTGTGTGGAAATGTGGCTCATTGGTTTACACACTCGATTTTGACACAGTGAGTTACGGGTTCGGGTCCGGATCAATCTAATTCAGCCTGGACAACTGGGTAGTATCATCATCTCTCATAAAATATGTGTGGCTCTCAGACCAATAATGGAAATTATGACCTCGATATTTGGGATTAAACTAACAAATGAACAGGTATCATGAAATTATATTACGTGAGTTGAGTACTTTTTATTCCATATAAGAAAGTTGCGACGACAAGAATACATATGTATATCATCACTATCTATAAATATTTATTATGAGATTTCCCCTAGTACAAAAGAGAATAATACCTTTTTTACAGGTCAATAATCTAAGCATATTCATTTGTTCTTATCAAAAATAGGAGAACTACGATACTGAAGTTCAGAATCTGGAGAAACTGATTGAGGACTCTCGGAAGTGCTTAAATTTCTGGCTAACTGACGTTCAATGCGGGCTTCTGAGATGGTTTGTTTAGGATTATGCTTTGAACTTGAAATTGCCTCAGGACTGCGTAACCAACTTTCGGCGTTATATCCAACAAATCCAACGACAGCAGCAAATGGTAAAGCTACATAAGCAATATTGGAACGTATAAACTGAAAAATGAGAGGCCACATCTGAAACATGTATAAAAAGACAATAAATAGTATAATGGACAGATTTATATCGCCAAAATTGTTAAGTCCTGTTTCAAAGAGTTCGAGTAAGTGCTAACTGAAGAAATTACAGTGTTGGCCGCCAGGAAATTTTGACCTCTTACTCATTTCCATAATCACACAGAGCTTTCCTAGTTATCACCCACCTCCATCTTACTGCTTTCCTGTCACTATTAATACTATTCCACAGGTAGATTCTCGACCCTCTCTTAACAGCAATCTGAGCTAGAAAAATATTACCAGTAATTTCTTTAGCCCCCTCTGCCAGCTTCATTTTGGAGCACTCAATATTTAGTCCTTATACCAAGGCGTAAAACAGGCTTCTCTAGATAGAACTTTGGCATCTGGGACTATGGATATATGCACAGTTTTGAAGATACGTATAAAAGACCCAAGTGTGGTTATTTGCTTAACTATCACCTTGCAGACATAGTGAATCTACAAAATTCACTTTATGGTGTCGGTAGATTCTTCAGCTAGTTCACATGGTCTTGCTAGTGTAATAATAGCATTGAGCACTAGGGAAGGAAATTCGCTAATCGATTATATTCCACTAGACAGTCGTATGTGTTGTCAGGTTGAACGGACCCGTAAGAAAGGAAGATTGAGACACTCGTGGATGTTTCTTCATAATCTTTGTTTACGACCCAGTTGAATTCAGTTCAGACGAAGTGACGGATGCGTCCTATTAAATGCGCATTTAATGATGGAAGTGGAATATGAAAGGTTAAAGAGACTGAATACATCTGCGCCACTGACAACGATTTTGAGCCATGTCACCTATTGTCTCCAGCCATTGATTCTTAGAGTCCCGAGGGCCCCAACCCGGAAGTCTGCATCTCCCTACCTGACTCAGTGCTTTCTCTGAGCAATGAAATGACCTGTTAACATAACTGTCTGAGAGTTCCACCTTCAGCAGAGAACTACCCAAGCTTACAACAATTCTAAACTTATTCTAACCTATTCTTCGATAACGCTGTTTTATGGTAAATGAATTCATTTACTATAAAACGGTTATCAGTGAAAAACGTTTTCCACTTATTTTCACATCACTGTCAACCAGAACAAGGAGAACAGACCAGATGCAGAAAGTACATGGGTGAATGCTTCTGGTGATTTATATGGTGCTTGACTCATATGATATGTCAAAACATTGTAAATTCAATTTGCATCCCAAAGTTACTATAATGCTCAGTTAAATCTCACTAATTAGAATTATTTCAGCATTCTGAAATAATTCTAACATTCAATAGTGAGTAAATTCTGAGTCTGATCTGAAATGGATTCTTTAATGGCACAGACTACAACTCAGTGATGGTTTTCAACATGACTGGCACTAATTCAGCACCGTGTTTTTTCCTTCTAGGCATTTTCCGGAGTAGATCCGAAACTAATGGGCTTGCTTTTCAGCGTTGTTCCAGCCCACACAGGACATACTAAGCACGGACTAGAGTTACCCCTACAGAATATCATAAAACATAAAACTTCATAAAAACAAAATTATTCAATAACTGGTGGCCGTAAGGTATCACTGCAGCCTGTGACAGAGCATAGCGGCACCAATGGCCTATGGAGAGGCTGAGCACTTGAAGGTCACTTAAGCACACTGTTATTGGTAGACTTTCCTTTGCGTAAACGTTGCGGCTAATACGTGTCGTACGTTACTGAGGCGGGCTTTGAAATAACAATAAAAAAAGCGAATAGACATTATATTTTTTAGATTAAGGGAACAACTTAACATGTGTATAAATTTCACAGATGTGATAAGCATTTGATCGACTCACAAGGAGAATATTACTGGGTAAATTAATTAAAGAAGTATAAAGTTTGAAGATTTTATCTCTTTCAGTTGGTTTTAACGGATAGAAAAGAGTCACTTGTATAATATTTGCTTTTTACAGAAGAGAAAATGTGACAGGTGATTTGGAAGTTACTTAATTCCTGAAATCTATCGTGGAATATATGGAAGACTAATCTATAGAACTTCACAAACGCTGTGATTGTTCCCTCCCGAGTTCACATATTCAATGTGACTAAGATAAGGAATTGTTCACCAGAGGTAAGATTAATTTATCTGATATGTATCCATCCTCAGATATTTCTCAATACGGCCGAAGGTATTGGAAGGAGTACAATCTCAATCTCTGCTTGAAAAGTTCACATCCAGTTTCCCCGAACGGATCTGGTGGTGACGAAAACTGCAAAGACTGGTCGAACACCACTACCCACGGGGACAAACTGATACAGATGTTGCGGACAGAGTGTTTGGTGGACTTATGATGACTAGTCATCATAACTATGATGCAGCTATAAAAACTCTACAATTGTGATTTTTTTCACTGGATTGTTATTCACTCTTTTTAGTGTAGATATGTACTCTTTCATTCTGGATTTTTAACCTGATTGATTGTTGTTTCCTTGCAAATATATGCGTTTATGTCGACTAACGTTGTCTCTTTTACTTATCATGTTGAGGATATTGCAGAGTTAATGAGAATGAAAGGCGACGTAGTAATACTTATGCAAAATGCGTCAGTCTTAAACTGTTATTATTTCCTCAATTCATCATCAAGCCTTGGGAAGACGAAAGAGGCACAAATCAGCTGATTGCTGCAGTTTGTAAGATGTTATCGTGGTGTTGTGTTTAGGCTATTCTACGTTGTTTTCAGTGGATTTTGCGACAGATATACGGTCTACATGCCGTATTTTAACAAAAATCATGCAAAACATGAGAAAAACCGTCGTTTTCAGTGTGTTTAAAAAGGCTGTCCTTTCACCGAATTGACATGCTGAGGCGCATAAGAAACTCAGAATTCGTCGAAATATGTCAATTATGAAAAAAAATGCCAAATAATTTCAAATTTTGTAGTGTGTTTTACTTAAATGATGAGGAGATGTTCAAATATCGAGGTAGTTATGATTTCATGATCTTTACCAAATCTCACAGTAAGAAAGGAAACTGAGTTGGTTATTTCGTCAGATAACGGTGAAGAGACAGTCATTTAACCGGTAGGTACTGTGTTTTAAGTTTTTTATTTAACTCATCATTTTCTCACTAAATTTTTATCATTTTTAATTTCCAGATTATGGTCGTAACTTCCTCAATCACTCAATACATTTAGACATTCTAATGGGATTGAAAAGGGTGATATTTGTGTAAATGATGAAATATTTGTGATATTACGAATGTATTTATCGAAATAAATATTGTTTTAAAATTTTCTACTCCATCCATACACTATGAATACTTACTGTTTGTCGAGTCGCGAAGTGATGCCAGTGTAGAAGACGTAATATTCGTAAAATGTCATATTTACACGTGGTAGAATTTGGTCACGCTGGGGTACTGTTATTGCTTTTGAGTAATTGCTTTCGCTAGGAAACTTTAAATACGCAACAAAAGCCTATCTAATGAGTTGCAGTATTTTATGATAACAAAATAATCAGTGAAGTTTAGTGACGTAGTCAACTAATGCACGAGTCTAAGTGTTGATGTGATCATGTAAGAGCTTATTGATACGAAATGATAACACAAGAAGAGTAATGTAGTTATCTCTTTATTACCTAACGATTTCCTCTGAGATAGTGGTGTTAAACGCAACATAAGAATAACAGACTATTTGTGATAAATAGGATGTGCGTTGCAGAGTGTACTTGAAGTGCCTACACTACCAATACAAGTCGTGTACGTATAGAACCTACATTGCTAGGTTATGTTTCGTTATCACATTGCAGTCACTACTGAGCTCTTTCTAAGGTTGTATAAAACGTACGTCAGACCGCATCTTGAAGTGCATAATATCATTGCACCCCCACTGCTTAAAAGAGACGCCAACCTCTGGGAAAGAGTCCAACGACGGTCAACAAAAGGAGTGGTTGGTCTCCGAAACAAACCATATGGTGAAAGGCTGAAGAAATTAGGCCTATTCACACTCAGTTACCGTCGCCTTAGGGGGGATTTAATTACTGCCTACAAAATAACAAATGATCAGAATAACCCAAACAAAGGTGTTCTGCCATTGAGTAGGTATAGGCTCCCTCGTGGAAATCCTAGAAGGATAGCTCATCAGAGGGCAAGGACCCGGGTGCGCTCTCACTTCTTTTCCCTGCGGGTTTGCCGTCCCTGGAATTCCTTACCGGCAGATGTAGCTATGGCACCATCTGTGGACGCCTTTAAGCGAAGGCTGGACAACCATGCAGCGACACAAGGACTTCATCCAAATGGCCTATCCGCTTAAAATCGCACACACCATTCAAAGGTAGACAATTAAACTGGTCGTTTTACTTCTTTACATTCTCTTCAGTCTTACTCTCCTGACAGCTTTAACTACACCTATTATTATCATCATTATTACTGGTATATATATATATACCGGTTGACTGACTGTTGTTACGTTTCCTTATTCTTTTTCTGTCTGTTAGTCTGAATACCTTCACTAATTATATCTATTATTATTATCTCTTTTCTATTGACGATGGTACTGAAGGACCAACTGGTGAAAGGATCAACTCCATTCACAGTGGTAACAGTCTTAACACACCTCATACTACAAACCACATATAATTAATCCCTGCACTACTCCTTTTGGAGTCAACCAAAGGTACGGCAGTCGAGTGGCGGGACGAGCTACGCAGACGTTTACCGAAGATCAGGAACCTCTACCTCACAATATAGAGGCGAGCACAAAGAAATCACATTGGTTTATACTAGCTCGTAAAAACGATATTGGATATGTTTGACGGCCACTTTCTTAACAATCGTGAATAATAATATTGTACGCAACCGGACTAAACGTAACTGAAACACTTTACGCAAGGCTTAATGACGCATTGAGGAAATAATAACAGTTTAAGACTGACGCATTTTGCATAAGTATTACTACGTCGCCTTTCATTCTCATTAACTCTGCAATATCCTCAACATGATAAGTAAAAGAGACAACGTTAGTCGACATAAACGCATATATTTGCAAGGAAACAACAATCAATCAGGTTAAAAATCCAGAATGAAAGAGTACATATCTACACTAAAAAGAGTGAATAACAATCCAGTGAAAAAAATCACAATTGTAGAGTTTTTATAGCTGCATCATAGTTATGATGACTAGTCATCATAAGTCCACCAAACACTCTGTCCGCAACATCTGTATCAGTTTGTCCCCGTGGGTAGTGGTGTTCGACCAGTCTTTGCAGTTTTCGTCACCACCAGATCCGTTCGGGGAAACTGGATGTGAACTTTTCAAGCAGAGATTGAGATTGTACTCCTTCCAATACCTTCGGCCGTATTGAGAAATATCTGAGGATGGATACATATCAGATAAATTAATCTTACCTCTGGTGAACAATTCCTTATCTTAGTCACATTGAATATGTGAACTCGGGAGGGAACAATCACAGCGTTTGTGAAGTTCTATAGATTAGTCTTCCATATATTCCACGATAGATTTCAGGAATTAAGTAACTTCCAAATCACCTGTCACATTTTCTCTTCTGTAAAAAGCAAATATTATACAAGTGACTCTTTTCTATCCGTTAAAACCAACTGAAAGAGATAAAATCTTCAAACTTTATACTTCTTTAATTAATTTACCCAGTAATATTCTCCTTGTGAGTCGATCAAATGCTTATCACATCTGTGAAATTTATACACATGTTAAGTTGTTCCCTTAATCTAAAAAATATAATGTCTATTCGCTTTGGGTGAGGATATCTTCTATAACGTGTTAATTTTTCCGCGCCTCAGGTTTTCTCGTCTCTCATTGGCTGGAACAGTGGCGGCTTATTTGATATTTAATTTGTCCTTGCTAGGTGATTTCGTTGCAGGTTTGTGTGCTTGAGGTATGCGTTGTTTACAAGCATATTTGATGAAAATAAATGTAAAGTTTGAGTATTCTTACGTTTTCTTTTACTTATTTGTGCATGTACACGGCTTAGCTTATCATACACTTGGTTTGTTGGCCTATCGGTTGTTAGCATTGTCAAGGAGCCCGTGAGTTCTTTGGCTTTTCTCGATTTTAGGTTATACATGTAGCATTTTATCGGTGGATATTGCTCAGTGATGTATTTCAATGTTGCTTTTTCCACGGAATTATATTGAAACAGTCGTGAGACAGATGGATACTAATTGACAAAGCCTTTTTAGTTTATTGCAGGTAGCCAATGCGAGTGAGAGCATTATTTATCCTGTAATATTGTGTGCATAATTCTATTTTTGTTTACCCTTCCACCTTTTGTAGTTAATAATGTGCTGCATAAGTGTCAACGATGGACGTGATCTCGCAACTCGTGCGCATCTCAAAGCGGGAGAAGTAATCGCACAAATGGACCATTTTCTTAATATGTAAACAAACTAATGTTGTATTATAATAAATATGAACTTTTCATATCAACCTTGTTGTCTTTCAATTCATGTATTCGCTTTGTGAGCACGGCATGCTAGACCGGTGCTCCCTAGGACTTGAACTCGTTACTATACTTAAGTGTAATTCTGTAGGAACACTATCGGCCGATATGCGTGGTGAATTATAAGTAGTTT